GATTCGAATCCTGTCAACTGCGATGAAAGGTTACTATGTTAAAATCGCAGAGCCCCACTCTCTATCTGTCAGATTTCGATTATAGTCCAATTTACAATTCTCTCAACGTACCATCCGATCAGAGTTGGGGGACCTCAGAAATGGGGTGTCATAACGTTTTGATGTGCCCAATCTAATGGATTTCAATTGAACTCTATGTCTGTATTAGTAATATTTCATGATTTAACACATCCAATAAAGTTACTAAGAGCAACACACTTTAATTCTTGATGGAAACAAGTAAAAAGGCACTACTACAAGTCCAAGATACCCTATCCAAAAAAAGATACCTATGCCTAATTCAACTTATAGGGAGTTATTTATATGAAAAAGCAGAGCAAGTCTGCAAATTTACCAGAACCTTTAAAATTCATCATTCAACCGAAGAAATTAAGAAATCTGTACGGATTAGCAAATAATCTTTTCCCAAAAAAAGAATCATACACAGATGGATCGATCGTATTCACAGAGCTAGGTAATAATTTCATCTGTTTCCTCAAGCTAATCTAATTCCGCCGAACGCAACTGGAACTGGATGATCACTTCCCAACTGAGAATTAAATGAACAATATATATTTTCCAGATCGAACAAAAAAATCATAGTCTAACCATTGATGGATCGGCTGGCCGGCAGGTAGAGCAAAAGACATCTCTGTTTCATATGTTGGCCGGCCGGCCGGCCGGCGGTTCATCGGTTGTGAAGAGGGTTAGGCTTGCCTTTATACTGAACTTTCCTCTTGCTTGATGAAAACTCCTGCGTTTGATTTTGCGGTGGTAGTGCGGCGGGAGACGACGGAAGTCTCTTCTCCACGCCCACCACCACCGTCTTATTCTCTGTTGCAGAGATGGTGAGCACTAACATTGACAGAAGAAACACCGCCGGCAGCAACTTCCCGAATCTGAAATTATGTCCGATTTGCATTGTGAATGTTGAGTTTGGGTTCAGGTGAAAGAACAGAGATGGAGGAAGGAGAGGGGAAAGGTCAAAGAAAGCAGAATAGCTTTGTCGAGTTAAATACTTAGCAGGAAATATGAGAAGTAAAGTTTTAAAATAAGGCCAGAGATGGTGATTGGTGGTAGTAGTCAATGACTCCGCCCCGCTTTCTTCTCTCGTTTATTTGATTTCATCTAATTTTTCATTAAATTTAAACATTCACCCCCATAAATATATAAATAATGAGACAATTATCCGTATAAGACTTAAACATGACAAAATTCCAAATTCAGGACTAAGGATTAACGTAGAATCAAATTACACTTTCTTTTACCATACTACCCTTAAATCTAATCAAGGAGCAGATTTAGGAAATATCAGTTCGTATTGATGTGGTCTGTAATTGTCCACAACAAGATGATGTGTATATGTTGAGTGTATTTTGATATTCTTTACATATCTTAATACATTATAAATGCTTTCCTTTATATTTAAACACGTACAGAGACAACTGTGGTATGTTTGTCATCAAATTTGCTAAATTTCTAATGATGAATACAGATTTGAGTGAAGTTTTGAAGGAATACGTTGATAGGTACCGTTAAAAATGACGACGGAGCAACTGATGTATGCACAAGATGATAGTAGTTAGACTACGATGCTTTGTAATAATTTTGATTAGGATGTTGGGAAAGAAAAAACATGTAAAATTTCTTCTTTTGGTCATTAAGCAGTGTTCCTAAATATTGGTGACAATTAATTTGACTATATGTAATCTTCTTTTTTAGTGGCATATCAAATGCTTCGTCACTCTTATTCAGTGTTGAGTTGATTTATAATTCTGGTTGAAGTAAGCAATACAGTCCATAAGTAGATAGTAAAAAGTCCTTAGTGTCTCAAGCGTAGACATTAAATTCATTCAGGCGTAAATATAAGTACAAACTTTAGTACAAAAATATGAAACAACGTGAAATTTGATAGATTCAAGTGTTGAAATGAAATTTAGATATATTTCTCATGCATAGGTACAATACAAATCACATTAATATGAACATAAAGGTCTATACATTTCTTTTGAAGACAAAAATAGATGTATGAGTAGTTGAGTACAATCAACAGATTGTTGTATTTGATCAGCACTTCAACAGTCTCATGTCTTCAATTAGCACTTCATTAACCTCCTGTCTTCAATCAGGAGGCGTGTGAGGCATGTTGGTGGTACCTAATGGGAGTACAATAACATTGTGCCCAATTCTCAATACCTGTCTCATATGAAGCTTCCGGAGATTTTTTTCAACTTCAAACTCATGTGCAGTAACCTAAAAATGCGTATGCCAAACTAAATAACAATAAATAAAAGTCTGTTGTGAAAAAAGAAATAAAAAATAGTTGGAAATAATAATTCTAAACAAGTAATTAATTTACCAACATCAATGAGGACTCATGGAAGGTACAAAGCTTGGCCTCAAAATGTTCAGAGAGAATAATTTTATTTATTTCTAGCTTCCTGTGAGCAAAACAAACTAAAAGTCTCACACACTCATTGCATGAAATAAAATGAAAGTGATAAGACATTATGATTTGTGAATTTAAGAACAATGAACTTAAATAGGATTTCTGCAATACTTTTATTGTGTCCTCATTTCTTACACCTTGAACACTGATGCAATTATATAGTCTAGCTGAATGTATACAATGATTTTTATATCTAAGGGTTGGCGTATGAGACATTTAGATGGGTTGCACATTACGGATTGCATATAATTAGGAAAGTCCCAATCAAAGCAAGAATCATGGGTGCACCAGCCACACTATAAATAGTCCCCACTCATGTGTGAAACAAATCCTTGAGATGTAATCATATCAATACAATTCTTGACTTTGACTCACAGTACCAACGCCATGAACACTTGTGGACTATTCGAGGCGAAACTCACATCATGTACATACTTTGTTTTGAGATTAACAAAATCAAACTTGCAAACACTAAACAATACATAGAGAGTAAGTAGTCAATAAATAGACAATAAGTTCTGATAATACCGCAATAGCAGAGAAGGTAACCGAAACTCCCTCAACTGACAATTGCCTATCACTTACGTGATTAAGGTCTTGCTTCACCAGCAACTTTTCAAGAGAGACTTCATGGACGCACTCTTTCATCTGCGTAGCCATAGAACCTATTAAGAGATAACTCTCAAAATCATCTCAAGCACAATTGTAATACACTCATCTCAGCTTAGGAGATACACATCATACCAGTTTGACAATTTATAATAAAAATTAACAATCTCAGAATAAATGTCTTGAAAATTAATAGTAAGAATTTATAGAACATCATACATAGACTATATTTCTAGAACTAACAAACTTGTGATATATGAAATTAGAGGTAAATGTCAAAATAAAACGAAATCTAATAACTTTCTCATATTATTTCATCTCCCTTTTCTAGGAGACAATGATAAAAGGGGTCCAAGCTAGATAGAAATCATTTTATGTCAAAGATAAGAAGAGATAGACGATGAGTCTTAAACATAGAAAAACCAACTCAAATCGGGAACTGATTGAATCAATTGAGAGCTGGCGAACAATCCGTATGCTTCAGAACAATTCATGGCTTCAGAACAATTCATGGACCATACGAGCATGATCGGATCTGGAGAAGTGAGCGTGGATGATTAAAAGGGCGAAGAACTTGAGCTCGCGTGATTTCACATACGAAGAATGAAGGAACAAGAAAGGGTATTGCGGAAGAGATTTGTCATTGCCCCAGGTTACTGGTCTTTAATAAGCAGCCTAAAGTGGAGGGTAAATACGGAAACAAAAATTAAGGTTCCTAAAAATAGAACTAAATAAAGCATACACATGGAAAAAAACTAAGCAGGTCCTAATCATGTAAACTTTGTATGATTTAGTTCTACTAGTATTTTGCACAATTTTCTCATAAATAATTATACAAATTTTTATCTCAAATTGAAATCATATTGTTTGATTAAAAAAAAGGTATGAGAACTAATATCAGGTATGAGAACAATTATAGATTTGAAAACTAAATAATATCAGGCTAGATCGTTCAGAACTAATATCTTTAAAAATTTTATATTCTTTTCAACCCAATAAATCTCTTGTTCAGACCAACACTTTTATATCCTGGGTATGCATTCATGTGTTACAAAACATATAAACGTGTGCTTATATAAATTTTGCTATTCTCCTTTTAGAGAACTTATGATATGTTTTGATATGAACTAAAAAAAATGCTAATGTTTTGGTATAATAATTAATTACTATTAACTTTCAGTAATGTAATGTACTACGTATATATATAAATATGAGTATATGACTAATTGTTCTACGGAGTATCATTTTTTAGTTGTTTTGAATTTTAAATAATCTAGTTTAAATCTTAGCTCCCAAATTGCAAAGTATAAATTAGAACCAATATTGGAATAAAGAAGAAAGGTACAGTGGCATATTTTATACTCCGTATATTAGAGTAATTAGACAACATACGCAATAGTTACGCAATAGTTTGATGATATTCATTAATGTTTTCAAGTTAATTTAATGGAATTTAGAACTTTGTGGGTCAAGGACGTTATTACACTAATTAAATAATTAAATGTGATGGTGCTCATCTCATATATCATCATTTTGTTATATTTTCCTCTACAAGGGTTAAACTATTTGAATATTTATAAACTATTCTTTCATTATTTGTTAGATTAGATTCCGGACTAGTTATACTCACGTGAAAGTGAAATAAAGTGGAAATGTATGATTGTAGTTGTAAAAGAAAAATGTGGAATGAATTTGAGCCACACAAATTGTCCAAAAATGGAAAGTTAGAAGAATTTTATATGAAGAAGGGAGAAAAACTTTGTGTAAAAGTATATCATTAATTTTTAATTTTTTATGCTGACCTAGTTTAAATTATACTCCCAGTTACCCCTGATCGTAAAACAAGATTGGCTGAAATTGAATGATGATAATCAGCAAACGGGGTAAATTAGAGGCTGCTATAGGACCGAATGCAACTCTGCATGAAATTTTCAGGGCTGAAGTGAGAGACCTTAAAATGAGGGGATTCAGCAACCCAGTGTTGCAATTTCATCAAAATCCAACAAAATCTCCTTCAAATATAGATAAATTACAAACATGCTCCTAAGTATTTCACTTCTCTGATTCACTTTAGTTATTACCAAAGTACGAGTACATATCTCTATTCTAACCAAACCATACAAATCTAACCAGGTAATTTCAAACTACCCTTTGGATGTAAGAATTCATTTGAGGTTTGTATACAGTTTGTCAAAAACAAAAGATCAAGGTGTTCTTTGCCAACCCTAAGCAGTCACCATGGGGAATTGAGGATCTTCCTCCAGCTTAAATAAATGTTTGGCTGCGAGGTGAAGCTTCTTTTCCTATCCAGCTCTCATAGTTTTGGATTTTCGAAGTAGGACTCCGGTATTTGTACTGGAGAAAGAAGTGATGAAACACATTTGAACTGTTACAAGAAAAAACATTGAATTCAAGTTAGGATATCAAATGGCAACAACATTTATCACAACTTTTAATTATTTTTGGGATAAGTGTATACCTTGTGCTGTTTATATTTGTCTCTTAAAGCCACCAAATTGCTTGCTCTTTTACTTAATTGCAGGTCATGTATGATAGAAACGCATTGCTTCAAATCAGCAGGCTTATACCCAGTGTATTGATGGACTTCTTGATTCTACAATTAACAGGTTGAAGCATAATCAAGATCCCAATATACACGTAGTATGTGCGTGTAGTATGTGTCCCACATTTGTTGAAATTTATTACTTACCCATGGATGGACATTTGGCTTCAGTGTGAACTTTGCAAGGAATATTACAGAAGATGCCACCATTGATGGGAGAAACTTTACACAGTAGTAATCCAGCAAACTTAACTCTGCTAGGTAATACACTAGAAACTGAAACTGCACTTTTCTTGTCTGCATATGTATACAAGCAATGGTAAGAACATTGAAAACCAAAGTATAGATACTCATGAAGACCCCAGGAGAACGAACTTCCATCAAACTTACTTTATAGTCCTCTTCAGCAAGCTCAATAAATTTTCTGCAATTCAACAAAAGAAACAAATCATGCATCAGCCCATCAGCCATGTGAGTATAACTAGTCCGTAATCTAATCTAAGAAATAATGAATTGTGGCATACTTGAGAAAAGATCTGATGGTTGGATTTCCCAATTCAAACTTAAGGGAATTGAGTACATCTTGCTCCATCTTCACAACTTCTTTCTTGTTAAAGGTATTATCTGTGATGTAACAGAAATCATCCACATGTGGAGGACTGATCTCCTCATATTTCCTGTTAACAGCACAGAACAAAAATAATTGAGCATGGAAAATCCTAGAACTTATTATACATAACAGGAATTCAGACTTTGTTCTTACGAGGCAATGAGCATGGCCGAAACGCCCAGAAGCTGGAGCTTTTGCCGGGGAATAGGGCTTACAGATAGGAACCTGTCCAGATAATTGACAGTTAGATACAGAGTTTCAGGGAGAAGCGAGTATTCCTGAGCAACTTCAACGAGCCAGTCAACCAAGATCCCTCTCATGTTTGCACTCACATCCCTCTGAACCTTCTCCATGTAATCCTGCAAAGGCCTTCTTCTCTCCTGCGCCTGAAACACAGAATCTTTATTTATTCAAACTCGATATCCTAAGATCAATTATGGTTTAGCAACCGTAATAAGCACTGTATTTCTAAAATATTGAAATCGAAGAAAAACGATTCTGACCTCCATTTGACGCAGATACACGTATATATCAGAAGAATACGCGCTGCATATCTGAGGATCATCGGGTTTTAAATCTACGCCGTCCTCCTCCGCCGTATTTGTTGTAAATTTCTCCTGCTTCACCCTCCTCTTTGCCAGGTTAGGCTTGCGATTATGAGGTTTAGGATCCAGGTTTTGAATCTCTTCCGGATTCACGGTCAGGAAGTCATTGATCTCAGCCAAAGCCACCCTCTTCTTCCTCTGTTGTATGTGTTCAGCAGTTATGGCTTCCGCCGCTCTCTTCTTCGCCAGGCGAGTAACTCTCACGCAATTCTGTTGGTCCGCCATTGATGTCTCTTGTACCTCTGTTCGGACCAGCGTAAATCTGAATCGGCGGTGAGAAACTGATAGGGTGGGAGCTGTGAATGGGGAGGATGGAAATGAGATGGAGGCTCGATGGGTATAAATCCACCATTCTGAGGGTTTGAAATTTTCAGTTTAAAGAATGTGCGCGCAAGTTATTTTAGTTCAAAGGGAAATGAAATGTTTTCGTTTTCAGTTGTTTTCTTTTTTTCGGGTCAGCTAAGTGGGAGAGACTGTAAAAGTTTTCAAATTTCGGTCAAATTGCGAAATCTTTCATCTTTCAATTCGGCGCCAAATTTTCCTGCGGGGGAATTAATACGGACCGCCATTTTGATTTAATTTTGTTTCATTGACCTGTCACGAGATATCCAAATATGTAAAAATCGGACGCAAAGCGACGGGTAGAATAACCTGGTCATGGATAAATTCGGACCCAACAAGTCAATCCGCTAGACGCCGTAAAACTCGGGTCAATATAAAAAATAAAATTACTCTTCCAAAGTATACTACTTCTGACCCGAAAAGTAGTATAAATTCGCATATTGACTTTTCTTGGTAAATGATAACAAACTTTGGACAATAATTTTCATTAATATCAATATCCAAATAAAAGTCTTTGCTTCCTTTTCGGATCGTCCCTAAATAAAAATCTCATTTTCTTTTTTGACATACAAAACGGTGCAAAATAGTGTCAAACAGTGTCACAGAATCCCACTTTCTTAAATTGTGTGTAAAACGAATAGGGGCTTTTATATAGGGGCAGGGCAGAGGGAGTATTATAATTGTATATAATTTATAAATTTTATACTTTTCTAGAAATATTGGTAATAAGGAACGGTTTGATATAATTTTCATATTCTAAATAAATTTCGTATTAAACAATATCATTAGTCAAAGTTGATTGATATTCACAAAGAAAAATCAATTTGACGAACCTTTCCGTGACGGATGTAGTACAATTTTTAACAAAATATAAAATGTATTTTAAATTGGATGGACAATAAATACAAATATGATGCTTATTAAAAAAATATTAGATAGTACTCCATTTGTCCCTCTAATATTGGGACGGAGGAGACTAGTGTGGTTTTTAAGAAATATAGAATTGTGTGGTTGATAATGAGTTGATAAAGTGGAATAAAGTAAAAATAAATTAGAGACACACAAATGTTACCAAATATGGTATGAGACATCAATATGGGGACATCCAAAAATGAAAAAATTGGACAATTATAGGGAGCGAAGAGAGTATATAAGTAGTTTGACTAATATTAAAAGCAATAGTACGCATTTTAAATTTTTATTACTGATGTGATATTTTTATCATGATTATTAATTAATTACAAAATACTAAGACTACATTCAAAAAATCACAGAGGAGACTATACTACTACCATGACCATTACCAAACGCACCAATGACTAATTTGGCCAGCGACCAACTCGATCAATAATCATGACCAATTCGAACAGTGACCAACTCAGTTAGTGACCAAATGGACTAGTGACCATGACCAAACCTATCGGTGACCATGACTAAATCGACCGGTGATCATAACCAATCCGACCAATGACCATTCCACCACGTGATCTGTAACTCGATTAGTGACCATGATCAGTGACCAATCCGATCAGTGACCAATCCGATCAGTGACCGATTATCCATCCAACGACCATGACCAATCCAATCACTCATCAGTCACCTGATCGGTGACCGTGCACCCTAGCCCTGCACCCCCCAGCACCCTTCCCCCAGGTAGTCTTGCCCCCCTCTGTCACTTGCTGTCGTCATCCACTCGCAACCCCCCGCTCTAGCACCCTCCCAACTCCCAAGCCCACAACATCCCCTTCCCCTCCCGAGCTCCTCATCTTGGTCAAAGCTCGTTGGCCCATCCACCAAAGCTCATTGTCGGATTGATGAGAAGCTTGACCCACCGATGTGAACGGCGGCACGCTGGTTGACGTGGCTGGTGGTCGACATCTGTAACACCCCGGCCTCGCAAGATCCAAGGTAGTTAATTCAGACCTCTAGTACTGTCCTCACAAACCCGCTCTAGACTTACTGTTATAAAATGCATTCCTTGCCCTTCTAATAGCAGCTGACTATCACAATGAATGGATATTGGAGGGGCAGGCTTTCCTAATGAGGAGGATCTTCCAAAAACTCGCTCAACCATTCAGTTTCTTCTCCAACCTAATCTAAGGCAACATATTCAGCTTCCATGGTAGATCTTGCAATAAAGGTTTGTTTGAAAGATTTCCATGACACCGCACCACTTCCAAAGTTAAACACATATCCGTTCGCTGATTTTGTGTCCTTGAATCGGGTATCCATTTTACATCAGTATATCCCTCAAGCACGGCTGGATGTTTTTGAAAATGTAAACCACAGTCTTTGGTATACATCAAATACCCAAGACTTCGGATATTTTTGAAAATGTAAACAACAGTCTTTGGTATACATCAAATACTAAGCGACAAACCTTTTTTCTTGTCCGGAGACAATAAAACCTTCAGATTATTGCATGTAAATCTCTTCCTCTAAATCACCGTTCAAGAATGCAATTTTTACATACATTTGATGGATTTCTAAACCCTTCGACGTAGCTATTGCTAATAGCATTCGAATTGAAGTTATTCTTGTAATTGATGAGTAGATCTTGTAGTAGTCAAACTCTCCCTTTTGGTTATATCCTTTGGCAACCAATCGAGCTTTGTACTTCTCAATTGTTCCATCAATTCTTCTTTTCTTTTTGAAGATCCATTGGCATCCTAGAGGTTTAGATGCATGAGGCAAATCTACAACTTTCCAAACGTGATTAGACATGATGGAATCAGTTTCACTCTTGATAACCTCTTGTCATTGTGCAGCGTCTGGTGAAGACATGGCTTCCTTATAAGTTTGAGGCTCATCGTTTAGAAGGTACACAACAAAACCGGGTCAAAAATATTTCGATTTTCGAGCCCTTTTGTTGCGTCCCACTTCACATTCTTGAGCTACTTCATTGTTATGTTTTATAGAATCAAAAGACCTTTTATGTGTGTTTGTTTCTTCAACATGGGTTGGAATGAAAACACGGAGGAGACAACTTCACAATCTCCTTTGAAAGGGAATACATTCTCAAAAAATGTGGCATCTCTAGATTCTATAAAAGTATCGGTCACTGTATCCGTGTTATGAGATTTGTAGACAAGGAAACGATATGCATTACTATTTTGTGCATATCCAACAAAAACACAATCAATTGTCTTTGGTCCAAGTTTTGTCCTCTCATGTTTGAGAACAACTACTTTGGCTAGACATCCCTACACATTCAAGTAATTCAAACCTAGCCTGCTCCCTTTCCATAACTCATATGGAATTTTGAGAGTTTTCTTGTAGGGCATTCTATTTAAAATGTAATTTGCAGCTAGAAAAGCACCCCCCCACAAATCATTTGGTGCACATGAACTTACTAACATGGCACTAATCATGTCCTTTAAGATCATGTTCTTCCTTTTGGCTACACCATTAGATTGAGGCAAATAATGAGCGGTTACTTGATGAGTGATTTCACTTTCTGAACAAATTAATTCAAATGGATATTCATACTCACCACCTTTATCACTCATTAGTAATTTGATTTTCTTACCAAGTTGATTTTCAACTTCAGCTTTATAATGCTTAAAAGCATTAATCACTTAATCTTTGCTTTTTAGCAAATACATATAGCAATATCTAGTGCTATCATCGATGAAGGTGATGATATACGTACCTTTTCCCACCTCTAGTTTTTTCATACTTAAGATCACATAGATCCGTGTGTATGAGGTCTAATAGTTTCGTGTCTCTTGTGACAGTTTGAAAAGGTTTTCTAGCCATTTTGGCTTCCACACAAACTTCAAACTTATGATTAGGATTAATATGACACTTAGGCAGTAAATCTAATTAAATGCATAAATCTACGCAAAATATCATAATAACATGTCCTAATCTAGCAAGCCAAATAGAAGAAGACATCACATAATAAGAGTAAACAACTTAATTATTATTTACAACATTGTATGGTACAACAATAAATACATTCATCTTTAAGAGTAGTCCATCACAAAGATAGCCCTTCCCAATAAATACATTATTTTTATTAAGTACAGATTTATCGACCACGAAAACAAGTTTGAATCCATTCTTGCTTAGGAGGGAACCCAAAATCAAATTCTTTCTTATAGCCTTCCGGTCTTTTGATCGGACTTACGGTTATCCTCTTCTATCCTCAAACGGACAATGGGCTCCTCTAGGGACATTTTTTGCGCTTATGCTTTAAGTAATTCTTAAAATCGTTCCATTTGGGTGGTAATTTTTCAATTATTACCGCAACTTGTAAGGGCTCGCTTAGGAACATAGCCTCGACATGAACTTGATGAAGAACAAGTTGGAATTCTTCAACTTGAGAAATGACAGATTTATGGTCAACCATAACAAAGTCCAAGAAATGATCAACAGTAAATTTCTTTTGACCGACATCCTCGCTTTTGTACTTTTTTCAAGAGACTTCCAAAGTTCTTTTGCCATTTTGATATCCGCATAAACACAGTACAATGAGTCATCAATCCCGTTTAAAAAATAGTTTCTACACAAGAAGTCGGAATGCCTCCAAGCATCTAACGCCACTACCTTCTCCAAGTCAGACTCACCTTCCTCCAAGTGAGGTTGATTCTCGAAGATACATTTGACCAAATTCAACGTTGTCAAGTAAAACAACATCTTTTGTTGCCGGCGTTTGAAATCGTGGCCATTGAATTTACCCAGTTTCTCCCTGTGAGAAGAACCAACCAGAAAGGCGATGTGTATAGCAAGCTACCTATGGCTAAGGAGCTATGGAACGCTTTGGACCACAGATATAAGAGCGAGAATGTCGGTGCAAAGAAATTTGTTGTTGGTCGATTCCTCGATTTCAAAATGGTGGATTCGAAGATGATCTTGGGTCAAGTTGAGGAGATGCAAATGATCTTCAACCAAATTCGAAATGATGGAATGACAGTTAATGGGTCTTTCCATGTGATGTCAATTATCCATTTATTTCCGCCGAATTGGAAGAATTTC